TCTAGTGTTTCGAAATTGACGATACCTCTATCTACATCTATTATCGTGGGAAGTATAGTTGGAGGTGGGGTCATAGTATGTAGAGCTAGCCACGCGGCTCTTTTGCATTTCTGTTTAAAGAACAAACGACATATTCATGTCGTGCATCATATTAATGCGCGAACAATGTATTATAAGCGTGATGCTGCATGCTGCATCTTGATTTGATTTCCTCCTTTTTTCCGAATCCTGGTGTTACCCCTCCCGATTGTTCCCCTCACTGACCGGCGGGCGATGGTAAGGACAGCACTTAGCGATTAGTTATATGGTATGATCAGACGTTTTCCTCTATGAAACAGATATAGACTTTTTTCTCATGCACGCATGTGCTCATAGCACAGTTTCATGCGATAAAACCGGGGAATATTTACTTTCTGGAAAGAAGTTAATTGAAGCCCAAAATAGTTGCACTTTACCCCTTGTTTCAGATTGTGTGGGGGAGGCTGAGTGTCAAGTGTCGGCAACCTCCAAATAGCATCTCTCAGTTGATTTTTTGGCACCTAACCCTAACTTAAGCATCAACGAGGCGCAATGGGTTTCTTGTTGTGCTTTTCATAGCATCTGGTGCGTGCTGCTGTTGCATGACGTCGTAGATTTCACACACTAATTGGTAACAATCATTTTACCATTACTTCTGTGATTGAGCCCCACTCTCACTCAAGCCCTTGTCTGAGAACTTTGGTCATTCTGTGAACTACGGGGATGTGATCGATCGGCATTCGGCAGATAACTTCTACAGTATGCTGCTGTGTCGGCCCCGGCCACTTGCCTTGTCAGATTTTAAGCCGCTGTAATTTCCTTTTCCTCTCCCTCTAGCCTAACAACTCTCCCCCGTATGTAGGCAGAAGTCAAGTAAGAAAAGGGCTGAAATTGCATTGCCATGATGCAGAATGGCCGAAATTGGTACTAGTTTTCGTACCCCCCAAAACGCCCGACATGTAAAATACTCCACACCAGAGTATGTCTCGGCCCGGTACGTACTTACAGGGTCAAGGATCCAAAGTGAGACTTTTTTGGCGAAGTCCATGCATGGTCGCTCATGTTACTCTAAAGGTTGTTCCTAATTTCTCCACACATGATCGATCTCAAACTCGCGCAATAGGTTCTGAATCTGGAATGATGATTTCCAGCCCTCCCCGATTCCCGAATATATCCAGAGACAAAAAGGGCTGTTCAGGGCGACGCGCGCGTCCAAAATCGGCCTTGAGTGAGAGCTAGACGAACGTTGTGGCATAACGGCGAACCGGAGCAGGCCACGGTGTAAGCACATCGGGTCACTTGATCTAATAGTCCAGGGGGCGGAGGAAGAGGGGGGGGGGGGGGGAGGACTTGACTTCCGCTCTGGGTGCGGTGGGCCGTAGCTGTCTGCTGCGGCGTTGGTGTTGCCTGGTACAGGATCTGCATCGAGTGATACTTCGTGAAGATTTGTTTTTTTTTGCCACCATGCGATTTTTCACAAATTCGATTTGCTAGGATGATCAGGTGTGAGATATGGTGGGGAGGCAGATCGATGTCTTGTCTGAGTCAGAAGTCGGGGAGTGGTTGGGATCGACTTAGGCGGGTCCAAAATTGAGACCCGTGTAGGCTAGCACTTAATGGAGGTGGGTAGAAATTCTCCAGGAGTATATGTGAAGTATTCTACGCCTTTATAGGCGCCCATGCACTTAGATTAAAAAATCATTTTGCTGGTACATGTAGTCTCAAGACCGCAAAAGAATGCACAGAGATTCTAGAGCCCAGACTCCATGAGCGCAGCGGAGAGGATAAGTTATGTGCCTTAATGCTACTATATGAATGAGTCTATGCCTCAACATTGAGAGTAGTTGTTGGATACTAATACAGCGAAAGCTTGCTATAACGGTACCTTCTATAAGGGTAATCTCTCTATAACGGTAGCACTTCACGGTCCTTTTTGCCCGGATTTCAGCACAATCACCTCTTATATAAGGGTAATCTCTCTATAACGGTACCAAATTCCGGTCCCGAGCGTACCGTTATAGCAAGCTTTCGCTGTATATGTAGCTGCGTCCAATAGTGGCGCACTAGAAAAGTTGCTACTCTGACAGAAGCTACGGCCAAGCGCTTGCGAGGCGCAGAGACAATGATTGCCGCACGTGCCACCTTGATCTGCTTTTCTGCACCTAAATTTGCACAAGAATCCCATTGAACTCTCCTGCGCCTTGCTATCGAGAACTCCTGTTCAACGTTTTTGTGTCTAGGTATCTATGTGTTTTAGATGGTTTCATGGCCCCACTATCCGCCACAACCGCAAGCGCGGTCGATCAAGGGGTGGTGTGTATAATAATCCAAACCGCGCCGGTGACGAAGATACTTAGACCGGCGTGCTTTGGGACCGGAAAGCACACCGAATAGGTCATTTACTACCTAGAGATCACAAAGTCACCACTCGGGTGATGTTGTGAGATATTTACAAACTTGTAATTAAATTCCATGGGGTCCGAAATAAGCACGGATGGGTCAAGTGCTCCATATAGATCTAGAGAAATTGAAAACCCAGCAATATTTACTTTGTGATGATCAATTGAGTTTCTCAACCTAGCATACGAGGGTTGTAATAATCCTAGGACCGCATAAAAACCTCGGGAAGCGGCAAGATAATATTCTTATGAGAGGTTTAGCTAGTTAAAGTAGTTAGTTTATGTTGTCTTCCCACATATAGGAAATGTAGCCATGCAGTAACTAAATGCGATGTCGGAGATGTCAATAATCAAGATAACTAATTGACAATTCGAAGCCCAACTCGAAAGGAATCCCTGATCTCAATATACAAAGTCACAAGTAGTCAACCGATCCGGCTCTCAGCAGTTTGAATAAAGTTCCAGATCTCACCTGCAGCAACAATGGCCCGTCAATTTTCTCGCCGTGAGCAATTCTTTATACTTAGATATTGATCTCGGGAAACGTGCTCGGTGTTACAATACACGTACACATGCATCGATCCGTGTAGACATGCCACGATACACCCATGTGGCTCTACGGCCAGCGGTGTTTGGTAGGATTTTCAGTATACCTCGACACCTTTACCGTTGCCGGTGGTACATATCGCCCCCTGGCCAGCTAGACGCCCCACCACATCTAGATAGTGAGGTCTTATCATGGGTAATACCACTAGGACCAAAATCCTCGCAATCCATCTCTTCTCGCTATGTTACAGACGTCCTAGAGTATACGCCGGGTCATCCGTCGTGCCCTGTGGCCTTCAGCGGCGAGATGGAAACATGCCTGTATTAAAAATAATACAGTACTAGCTACGTAGAATGTGGATCCAAATTCGAGGCTTTCAGCCCTTGGCTCCACGTCCCACCTAGCGAACTGAAAAGATTTCTTCGACATGTGACCTATTCTGCCTCAAGACCGGCGGTGTGTTCTATTCTCGCGAATATGAAAAGCTTGTATTAGAAGGTTGAACAAGAAGAGTAGGTGAGTGATATTCCATGAGTCTTGGCAGATGATCATTGGCATCAGCTGAGATACAGTCAGCGATCTCAGCGCCGGTCAAAACAAACTTCATTGGTAGCGATACCAACATCTCTTTTGAGGGTGAAAACGATTAAGAACCGGTTGCATGATCTTATCGAGCCCCAAAAGAGATAATGTCGTTTATTAATGATATTACGAGATACGTCGTACGCGGACGCCGATCTTGAGACCGACGACCAAGACTTTCATTCCAAGATTCCGGAACTAGATAGCTGTGTAGCTGTAGATTTGAAAGCATCTAGATTTATGTCAAGGATCCCATGCCCAGCTGGCTTTCTGTGAGTAATTTGGGTTGTACTTGATGCAGTGAATAAGCGGGTGAAGAGCTCCGAGGCCCCGGTAATGTAGCTCATGACCACAGCCAGCTCGAGCTTTCACGATCTTGTTGAGAGCGAGCCTTATCATTCATGCGGTGAGTCCGGGCCGGCTTGAACCTTCCTAAGGCTCGAGATAAACCATGAACCTTGAGCTGAATTCAAGGAGCTATGAGGAATATGAGGGCTATGAGAACGTCGTCTCAGCCGACAAAGACCTTTTAGTTTTACCCCCTGGAATTCTCATTCCAACTAGCATTGATTTCATCTGTCTAGCTAATTTCCCATGAAAATGCATATACCATGCCATTTTACTACACTAGGCAGAAGGATATCTTGCTTTTTGGTCATTGACCACTGGATCGAGTCATTTCACGAGCTCTTATCAAAGTTCAAGCTTTATGAGCCTCGGCCCTTCAGCGCCTGAGCAAGTTCGAGCTTATGAGCTAGCTCATGGGACACATCGCATGAGAGACGATCCAGGTCCGTCTTATCGGTATGGTAGTACCATGGGCCTGGTAGCTACATGTTAGTAATTCCTGAATCTGATGTCTTATCGTAGCCCATGAATTGGCATTTGTCGTCGAAATCTTTTTGCTCCATATGCGGATATGTAGATGTAGATTAATGTATCTAATTCAATCATGAATTATCACTAAGCTTGTTGTTATTTATTGATGATTGATAATCCATTCGTGTATGAACCCCCTTGTTAGATAGCAGGCGGTTTGATATGATATCTGATAAAGTAAGTATAACGTTAATGATAATACGTGTTTGATAGGTTACATACCAAACAAATGAAGAATTAGATGTCGGGTAGAGAAAGTGATCGTGGAGGTCGAAAAACCAAGAAGCCTCGAAAGAAAAGAGTAACAAACCCATTGTGTGTGAGTCTCTAGACAGTGCGGGTCCTGAGCACGAGCTATAGACAGCAGAATCATTAGTTCTTCAACACAGGTACTGTACTCATCCAAAGTGTCACGTTTGATCCATTACTCGCTCGTTGCAACCAAGTCCCCACACAAAATTCCGACCTTTTAATTAACGCGCAAGTATAGACATCAAGGGAGTAACCCCTACATGGACTGAGAGCCTTTCCCCGCCGGCCCGTTCTAAGGGCTATTCATGTCTCACTCTTCTCAAATGAAGAGAGGCAATGTTTCGAGAGGTGGTAGCTCGTTGCCCATGCTGCTTGTTGTCAAGCAGGATTCACTATCACCCTGTAAGAACGCAACTGTACCTGCTGCAAATTTCAGTACGCGAGACCGTGAAGAGTAACGTTCACCCCGTCCACGAGCCATTCCTCATGGTGACCAGGAACAGCTTTTGTCAGCTAACTCTAGCTCTAGCTTGGGATGGACATTCACCACTGGGCGGAGTATTATCCACCTATTAAACCTGGTAGGAGAACACTCACAAAAAGTTGCCCAAATCCGACAGCGATAAGCATCGCATCGAGATCTCGGCATCAGTTGAATGCGTTGGTCTGCTGCTGACAGCCGAGTGCAATGGCAGCGGCGGGCGGTGCACGGAAGATGATGCCTCACTTACTCGAGGCGGATTTCTAGAGCGGTTTCTCCTTGGGGATTCGAGAGCCAGAGGCAGCAAGACTGAGGCTGGTGAGAAGTTTGAAGACTGCAAGAGTAAGAACCTCGCTAACTTTAACACTCACCATCCTCAGCATTGCCCCTAGATAAATACCAAAGTTGGGGGAGGTGGATGGTACGGTGTGGGATGTGGGATGTGGTGGAAAGCGGTTCGTGCCAAGGATAAGACTGTTTTTTAGGGGGCTTGAGTTGTAGTCGGACGTAATAAGAGAAACGTTCTGGATGGACACAGCTAGCTGTTAGTATCGTGAAACTCGAATCGAAGTAGTGGTATAAACGGTATAATCTAGGCTGTCTATTAACTTCTGGTAGTCTGTAATTTGTTAATTGTGAGGCCACGGTCTTGTGCTCATATGATGATGATGGAGAAGTAGGAAGAAGGGGTCATGCATGAGATGGCGGGGAGATTAGACCGCGGGGTAAATCCTTTTTTATTTATTTTTTATTTTTTCACATTTCTTTTTTTGAGATCTGGCTTTATTCCGTCGATCGTCTATCTCATCTGCTTTAACGTATATCAGAGCCGCGTCAGTTTGTTTCAATGGAAATGGAAATGACAGTACTATATAGCTCTTGTATCAAAGCTACTCTAGAAATACGTAAATCCAGCCTTCAGCACAGCTATACATGTGCAATAGAGCCACTAGCTAGGGCCACTAAGCAGCAGTAACAAGACTACATGTATATTGCCTCCCCACATACACGCCATCAACGACCAGCCGGTAGGCTCTCAAAAGTTTGGAGACCGCCTTGTACAAGTTGAGAATAGTACCTGGATTCAGCCAGATCCTATTGAGATGTAGTGAAACCCGGGGGGCGGGGGGGCGAGGCCATCTGCAACGACATCAAGATATAAAGTAGTCTAATTAAGCGCACAAAGATTAAGACGACTTCTTCTTCCATGACTAGGAGTGGCGTTATGGGGGTGTTGAGTTTTTGTTATGTATTGGGAAAGAGTCCATCACCGCAAACTAGCTCCACGCATCCCCGTGAGGACTAGAATGCTCGGATGATGGAATATTTGCGCTTCCCGCACAAATATACGGGTCTAGTTGATATCTCGATTCTATTCGAAACCGTGTTTAGTCTTTTCACTGGACTGGACTGTGGACGTGATATATGTGGGAATATTTTAAAGCTTAAACATTAGCGAGTGATATTTCATGATTCACACACAATCTACAACGTCCCGAATGGTTAGGTTACCACCTAAACCGTACACCACATGAACTATGCAGATATTATTCAAGATAACTTTCATCCCCACCAGTAAGTAACAGCCCATCAAATACACCACATCCGGCACCGACTTTACCCCCCCATAGGCTGTTTGGACATCGCCGCTGCGGGAATGCTTTGATACTACAGTGCAATCTCGTTATAAGGATATTTTCTATAAGGATATTCGGCCTATAAGGATATATGTATGATTCAACTTTGGTCCCGACAGGGATTGTGTGGGTGAGCTGGGCACTTCTTATAAGGATAAATCGCCTATAAGGATATTTTTGGATGCAAAATTGTCACATTTCCATATCCTTATAGCGAGATTGTACTGTATAGCCGGAGGATGAATACATAAATCTAACTTGCCACTACTGTTTAAAAGAGTGATTGCCACTAATACTTAAGATTTTGGTTTTTAGATTACATATATACAGCTACCCACATCGCACATTTTAGACGGCACAAGCTTCTTCATGAACTATCACTCGCCACAGTACATGCGGGATTGATTGATAATTCATACAGTACATCCGGGAAAAACAAGCGAAAAATGGATCGAAACCCAACTAAATTGAAGCCAGATATTCTCATCAAACAAGTAGGCTAATCACTATAATTGGCCTGCATAAATGGTGTTACAAAAAACGAGAAAAAGACAGTACCCTCCGGGGGAGCAAACAAGAAAAAAAATAGAAATTGTTTTTAAAAAAGCTTAAAAGTCATTACCGCCCCCAAATCCACCATACCCGCCACCAAATCCACCACCAAATCCACCACCAAAAGGCGGCCCGCCTCGGCCAGGACCTCTCGGGCCCCTCAATCCACCCATAGGCGCATCACCCGGCCCAACCGGATCATATCTCGCTCCCGGCGGAAACCTCGGGTCCGGGACTCCCTCGCCACCCTGCCCACCAAACATGGGGTGATCCCCCGTCGGGTGCATCCCGCCCATTGGTCCCATTCCACCACCGAATCCACCCCCGCGCCCTTCACCGAAGAACGGGCCTCTTAGCGGCGGGTTTGACCCTAGGCCAGGCGGGTTCAGGTCGTCGGCACCAATAGAGAGCGGATGGCGTCCACCGGTATTTCCGTAGCCCCCGCGGGGCGGCTGCAGGATCTCGTAATCGTCGTCGAAGCCCGGCGGCCTCTCGCCACCGGCTGGAATGGGCGGGTTAGCCGGACGCGGGGGGTACCGCAATGGGTCAGCCCTGTAGGGCGACTCGTCAAAGCCCTCTCTTGGCTGGTCGCGCGGTTGCTGCTGCTGCTGCCGGCGTGCTTCAGCGGCGTTTTCCTCTTCTTCCTGGTGCTTCCCGACGAGGTTCAGGACGATGTGGATTTTCACGAGGGCGGCGAGGTCAGAGATCTTTGATGCGCTGACGAAGGCGTTCTCGAGCGGCTGCGTGGGCTGCAGTGTGTACGGGAAGAAGTCATCTTTGAGGTAGTCTTTGGTGATGATGTCGAAGGTGGCTGTCTTGTCGTTGTCGTCGCCGAGGCCAAGGCCCATAATGATAGTCTTGGTGCCAAGACGGTTGACTTTGATCAGGTAGTTGAGTGGCGACTGGGCGTGGGCGTAGCGGAAGCCGTAGTTTCCGGGGCTGGCATTCCAGGTCTCGGGGAGTGGCTGTGGGTTTGAACCTTCGATTGCAGGTTCTGGGTATGGATGTTAGCGGAAGTGAGTGAGTGGGAGAGGAGGACAAACCAAGATGGTCATCTTCACTGAGACCAACGAGACGGAAGCCTACGGAGAGCATGCAGGCATGTACAAAGACTGCGATAGCATCATGGGGGGTTCTGAGCTGTGGGGCGTTCGGCGGGAGTGAGGCATCGATGTTACGAAGCACTATGGGAGGGCTGAACGGACGAGCTGCCATAGTGTGATAGTTTTTCTAGTCGTAGTTGCAGTAGTGATATATTTTGTTTATTGATTGTAGTTGTTTCGTAGGCAAGATGTGGTGGCAAAGAGGTGCTGGTGGGAAATGACGATATGCTGTCTAGGCAGGAAGCTTATATAAAGCTACCAAAGGGTTGTGTGGGGTGAGTTTGTGGGGTTTGCTCGTGATGCGTCAGTGCCAAGACGTACCCGTGCAGGGGCCACAAAGCGACCCAGGCATCTACATACTAATTAACAAGACCCGAGTCTACTATTGGTGTGGGGCGAATAAAGTAGAGCAGGCAGCGTACAAGTAGGTACGTTATGCACAATGGACGCAGACCATGGATCCAGCTATACAGACTACCCTATGATTGGCTGCAGAGAACGTTGTCCACCTTATGTGAAACGCAGGCTGGGTCGTCTTCTGGAACGGACCAGGCGCGCATCCAGGGCTGCATATATATTATCCCCGAGGATTCTTCAGTATTGTAAGGTGCTTTTGACGGAAGTGCTATTACAACGTGTACCTACATGCGTAAGTTCTGAGTCTATTTAAGCGATGACTCGACTGTGCTGAGGCTGAGCATGAGAGCTATGTCCATGGATTTATAATTTAGCCTTGAGACACCCGGCCCCCAAACTTTGTGGAAGCCTCGAGATGTCCATAACTCGATAGGAAGCTCTAAGACAGCTCCTGAAGCTTTAATGCCCACCTTGAATAATAGCGTTTTTACCCGAGTATATACGTATGAGCTGTGAGGCTGCATAAGCTTTTTGGGCGATTACTCTAGGTCGAGGACTTATTGACATTGTAGGCAATATAGGCTACGACGTGTATTCTCAACCTTACTCAGAATATGGGAGCCACATGTAGTATTAGGAATCACTCTGCTGAAGCTCAAAAGTACACGTATATTGTTTATCCCAACAGGAGAAAAAAAGCCCATAGCGAAGTAGAGGCCATGTCTACGTCCTAGCTATCGTCAATAGCGCGAGAGAACCAGACCTAGGAGTCACTTTAAATTCCCCTATCCACTTTTCCGAGAAAAAAACACCAGACCCAAAGCACAGTCTAGACCTCGTTTATATTTCTACAAGCCAAACTAGACCCGAAATTCGAAAAACCATAGCTCCTCGGCCAGCCAGCTCGCTGCTCAGGTATGCAGGAAATCCGCCACCATCAACAGCTCCAGCGCGAGCTCCGGTGGGATCTCCATATCCGGCACATCCTTCGCATCCCGATACTTCTCGTTGTAGTAAAAGTACTCGCAGACCTTCTCGAGAATCACGGCACTATATGAACCTCATCAGCACCCCATCCATCCGCTCATCTCACTCCTTCCCGGAGAGGATAGAACATACCTCATGTTCTGGAAAACAATCTTATTCTCTCTGGCCTCCGCAAAGTTACCTATCCGCCCAGTAGCGCGTTAGCCAGCTACTTCTTCACCAGAGGATGGGGGGTGTCAGGCATACTTCGCTTATCCAGCATACTCTTAATCGCCGGGGACGACATCGCCGCCGACTTCCTAACCACGAAGCGGAACCCGTCGTTGGAGATGAGGACAACGGAGTTTGTATCTTCGTCTGCCATTTCACTTTTTTTCGGTCGTGGTTATGGTTGTTGATATTATCGTATCGTATCGGTGGATAAGCTTATTAAAGGGTTGTGAACGTGCGTGTTGTTGGTTACACGCGAGGTGCTAAAGGTAAAGGTTAAAGTAAAGTGGGTGGTTATCGATAGCTGCTAAGCCCTTGTCTGCGCTAATCGGCATTCGCCCTGCAGCACGATGAGAGGGGGCGCGCGCCAGGCCTGGGAAAAAAACGTGTTTGAGGGGGGACCCTGGTTGATTTGGGGACGTTTATTTCGAAACTGGGTCAATCGGTCGTTTAGGAACCAATAGTGCGGGTGATGCAATATGGATGTAGTTCATGATATTTATTTATTTCTTGGTGGGTTCTCACACCTACATCCAATATCAAAAAACCACTGCCACCACCACCAACCATCACCACCATCACCACCAACTAACTGCCAATCATGGCTGTGCAATGACTTAGGAGAGCCTCAATAAAAAGGAAACATACACGACCACAAAAAAAAGGAAAGAAAAAAACTCAAGTTAGAAGCGGTGGTCTACGTACTGCTACTATTTCAGAATTGATCCCAAAATCACGACTTGTGACCCCAGCTCCTCCCCCCAAAATCAAACGCCCAAGAAAATGAGAAAAGAAAAAGGGAATAATAAGGACTGGGCCAAAAAAAATAGATACAGGGAAAAAGATCATCTCATTTGATCAAAGGAAAGATAAAAGGAAATAGAGGGGTTAAATGATGGGGGTTGGTATATAAGGGAGATGCACAAGTTAACTTCACGATAATTCCCAATGCCTCACTGCTACATACTGCTCATAAATACTGCAATATAGTCAATCAGAAAAAAGGTTAGCTCATCCCGCAGCGCCCCACTCCGGCCGCAGCCTTTGAAAAAGGAAAAGAAAAAGAAAAATAAATAGGAGAAAAGACCACAATAAATAGCGTTGTCATAAGTTATGACAAGAAAAAGGTACATAAAAGAAATCCCAATGAAAGATATTATTCCCCAAATTATAAACTCCAGAGTAAAAACAAGTGACCCCCAGGAAGAAATTAGATGAAAATCGGTTTCAAACTCTCTTTTCCTCGTCTTCAAGGCCATCGAAAAATGTCGTAAACAGTAGGGAGAAGGGAAAGAAAAAAGCCGGTTTCACTGAATGATCAACTTGCGCTCATTCCCAACTTTCGTCATGTTCACACGTCTCAGCATTGCTGTATCACTTGGATATATAATGACCGGTGCAGGGAGCCGCGGCCCTTCTTGACCCATGCGGTACGCCACTTGTGCTGCTTCTTGAATTGCCGGCAGTTCGTCGTGACAGGTTTTGTAGTCAAATGGAGAGACTACGATCTTTTGGCGTAGTGTGATATCCCTGCAGCTAGACATATGGGCCTACGATGATTGTAAGGTTAGTGGATTTATAGTGTAGAGAAATTGGACTAATAATCTACCTTAACTGTTAGGAAATAATCAATTTTGTATAATGTTGCCGACGTAGTGAAACCGCTAACTTCATACAAAGGAAATGCCGGCTTCCCTGGTGGGAGGTACCCATCACTATCCCTCAACTCCTTTGCTGGAAATTTGATGTTAATCCTGGTTTCGTACCCAGTTTCCGGTAGTTTTTGCCCCACAACCTCCTTCTTGCTGGTGAGCTGTTTAATTTTTGTCGATGGCTCATCGCCCTGCGGATTATATGTGATGTGTTCCTCAATCGCTACCACAATTTTTGATATCGATACCTTCCTTGCCTTGACAATCCAATCCGGGTTTGGCGTCAGTCGTACCGAAACCTCCACAGGATCATTCGGGCCAAAAGACCATCGCTCCAGGACCATACACAACGTTACAAGGTGATCTGATACACGTTCTTGTGTTTCTGGCCTATTATACATCCCAAACGAAGATAAAGTGTCGTATCTTGTTATGGGCACCGGAAATTTATGTTTTGTCAACTCCGTATGGCCCTGCCTCACGCTGACCTCCAACTCATAATATGTCTCCGCAACTCGTGAAGGCAAAGTTAAGCTTGCCGGCGGCACATTTAATATATCTTCCGACCCACTTCCCGACACTGGTATCATCAACATAAACGGTAAATCCATCGCCATTACCATTTCGTAAGGCATTCCGGCTGGGCATTGGTATAGTCTTTGTTCTTTTGCAACTAGTTTCCGTAATTCTTTCCGCGGAGCAGCTAGGCGGCCGCTGATAACTCCATCCGCGTGGGGATGTATTGTTTCCTTTCGATAGAGACCAATGGAGACGAATGATATGGCGACTGGTGCTGTGTATCCCGAGCCAGGGCGGATCTCAACTTTGCCTTCTATGCGAGGCTGGAAATAGAGCAGCAGAAACTCTGGTCAGCTCCCCTACGACTATAATCTCAACTTGCGTTCGCCCGGGAAGACCTGAGAGAACAAAAGGGCTATCTGGGGAGGGATCAGAGAACAGAAGAGGGGATGTGAGGAGAGGAGAGGGTGTTTTTACCATAGTGGCTGAGATCCCGGGGTATCCTACGAGAAAGTTACTGTTTGGCGGTCCACTTATACGGACGAATGCCGGAATCTTCTCTAATATCTCCATGATGGGTGATAGTAGCTGATGGAACCACCCCACTCCCGGCTATCGCAAAAAAGTAACCAGGGCACCTTTCGCCAGTTGTAAACTAGGGGCCCAACGAGCCCTCCTGATTGGGGGGTAGTAGTAGCGACAGTACTGGTGGTATTAACGGCAATGATAGTATTGGTTATTGTGGTAGTTGTTATGATAGCAAAGTGTAGTTCTGGTGATAGTTGTAGCGAAGGAGACTGTGTGGTGTCTTGATTTGTGGAAGCGGAATGTTGCAGGTTATTACTATTTGTTGCCTTCCCCCCCTTAGGCCTTTTCTTTTTCCGGGAGAGAATCCAGGGCTTCGTTTTTGACGCAAAGTGTCACCGGGGTTTGGGCGTGAGTGGGTGTGAGTGTGGGGGAGGGGGCAGCGACCGCAGCTGAGGATAAGTAACTCGAAATGGGTTTGGGTTGTATGTATGCGATGAGCGATGCTAAGTGTGCCAGGGCTGAGAGCGTCGAGAACCGCAGTAGCAGAACCTCGTTTGATACACTTGAACCACGTTTTTCTTTTCTCGGCTGCGTCTGCGGGGAGTGGCTCGCTGACCTTTGTTGGGCGGAAGAAAGGGGTCCTATTGGTGAGACTCAAGGTGGTGGTGTTGTAATGGTGGTGGTGATGGAAGAAGTTGTCTGAAGCGGCTCTTTCTGTAGTTTCTCGGGCGTGGCGAGGCACTTTGCGGCGGAGTTTATGTACGGTATTTTAGGATCCCCAAACTAGCAACGATGAACAGGTGTAATGCATGGTGGGAGATGTGTGCCTGAGGCTAGGAAAGAGAACCACCGACGACAGGTGTCAACAGCAGAAACAGCAGAAACAGCAAAAAGTAACAAAAATAAAATGGCATAAATCACATGTAGGGTATATCTCTACCCTGCAGTCGCACATATATGTATACCCTCCACGGCCATTGATGAGGTGGTAAAGATGGTAAAGAAAAATGAACGGCTAGAGATTGAAGGGAAATGATGAAGCACACAGTTCCTCGGATGCAGTCTTTACCCCGAGGTGTTATGTCAAAACTCTGCTTCTGGTAATGGTTAAAAGCTGTTATATTACGGGTTCAACGAAAAAGGCCATAAGAGCATGAATATTTACTGCTACTCGAGCTCTACAGTTCATAATACTATAGATATAAAATATATGGGCAAATACTTAGTACTATATGTCGTACCGGAGGGTCACAAATAATCGGTCATGGGTGAATACATGTACCCATCATGATCATAAGGTACACGTATATAAGGTGTAGTTTGCAATTTACTATATGCATGTAGTACTTGACTTGTATCTGCTAGGCTTTATGGGCATGTATCTCGCTGCCAGCCTAAAATGCAAGTACACGCATAACGGTGCTTTAGATATCTGCCTACCTAGAGTACGTGATATCGATATAGGTGAAACAATGTTGTGCATGTTTCTTTATGCAGTATCGCGCTAAATTTTGGGTGTAGCTTGTCTGCTGATATGAAAACGAGATACCGATCCAGGGTACCGAGGCAGTTACGCTTGTACCGTAGAGTGAGCGTACTCTATCTCTGTACCACATGGAGGCATGTGTACATGGAGACAAAGCTCATAATTGCAGAAATTTGAAACGTTCTAGATCTGACAGGAGCGGAAGAAGGTTGATGGGGTTTCTAGAAGCAATTGGTGGGGGAATTGACCAAGTACATACTGGTTTGCCCCGCCAAGCTACCTTAAAGCTCGCTCCAATTTTTGATTACGTAAACCCTTGTCTGAACATTAGCAGTCGCAAGTTGCAACCGCGTTTTTACCTCTTCGGTGCTTCGGTGGCATCCTCACCCACTTCATTCAACCGTGTAATAATCCGTTCTCACATCTACTCGCGCTCTGTGCATCGTATCACCCCTTGGCTCCAGATTGCCCAACCTTCCCGTGAGCTAGACCAGAACCTCAGTTCCTCGACGACGTTCACCTACCCCGAATCCCTTTTAGGTGCCGCAACTTACGAATATCGCCGTCATCAGCAGCTATCACAACAATCTTGTCAGTAATACCTAATAAATCCCCCACGGACTTCCTCCCCTGTGGGCAGCAATCGCAAACAGAACACTTAGACGGCATTGGCAGCACGACTTCTACTTTCGCATGGCGTCTGCCGCCGCTCCCTGTCGCACTTGCTCTGTGTCTAGCTCGCCCTCATTTCACCCTTCGCCTGCGCCCTCTTCCCCAACTCCATCAACGTCATCGGAATCGCGAAAAAGAAAACGCGACGAAGTTGTCGCGAAACCAAGGCCATTTTTAATAACCCCCCCACATTCAGAAGACGGTGCTCCGGTAGGGGCTAGGTCTAGGCGCATGTTTACATTTCCGATGTTCACGAGTCTCTGGCAATCTTTGAAAAGCTTTGCCGGGGTTGGATCCACACCTCCAGATTCATCGCCTGGCGGGGATGAAGTTGCTGGATCACCAAAACGTGTCCGTGTTGAGGCTACTGAGGACCCCTTAAAAAGCGATGGTAGGTGTTGTTTGTCACATATTATAAACTTAGATGTTAGCTCACTGTATCCCCAGACTCAGCGCCGAACGATGACCCAAACAAAGAACCAATTGCTTCGACAGCACAACCCATACAGCCCATACAACCCATACAACCCATACAATCGCAAAGTTCAAACAAAGAGTCTCCACCTCCCCAGACACACAATAATCGCCCTAGTTTGAAGATCAAGGCTCCGGTCACTACAGACAAACAGACGCCACCAGCTCAACTTCCCTCCCCTCTCGCTTCATCATCTGGAGATGAGCTAGCAACCGTCTTTAAGAAGACAGCCAGACCTGTACAATCCTTACCATCGAAAATGGCCGACCCCTTAGCCCCACCCTTTTTTACCAGACCTCTGCGCAAGAGGAGTAATCCGGAAGCGGTATTACAGAGAATCCTTGCGCGCAGAGCAGCATTCGGCCCAGCATATCCTCCAAGTAAAGAGGCTCGAGGAGGGTATCCATCGACTCAAATCCCTCGCCACCGTGCCCAAAAGATCATCATACCAGGATTAAACGGGGAATTTAGGAGGGAGGGCCATCCATATTATCCTTTGCTGAGAAGACTTCCCCCGGGAGCACCACCTGGCGTTCTCAAAAATTTTAAGACCCATCTGAAATACCCGGATAGTAAATCACCACTACCACGGTCAGATGAAAGACACAGGTATACTAGGCGCGTGGAGAAGTATATGAGGAAAACGGTAATTTGCTAATATAATTAAGCGGAGCTGGAATGATTTTACTAACAAGTCGCATAGTACATGGTAAATAGGCATTTGGACCAGTTGAGCCAAATTGAACTAGCTACATTACTTGAGCAGCTTAATAAGGAACAGTTTTCGGGTTTTCAAACCCTAGAACAAGTTGAGCAGAGGCGCAGGGAGCGTAATATCGAGATAACAAAATTGAGAAATGCAGCAAGACAGGTAATTGCTGGAACCCCAACCGATGCAAGCATAGTGAACCTGCTAATATTCTATCAAGGAAATAATACCCCCCCTTGACCCGGAGTCGCTCGCAAGGTTCAATACAATAGTAGGGGACTTGCGTAATCCTGCGGTTCCCGCCGACAGGCTATATAACACTATGGATGGATTTTTAGCGAATAAGGCTGCTCTCGTTAGGATCCTTTGGCAAGATGGTGCAATCAGTTCGAATTGGCTTAATGATGAGGGCATGAACTTCTATGTCGCGATGATCGCAAAACGGGGCAATGTCGAAGGCGAGCCTAAGAAGATATTGTCATTCAACAATGCTTTCTGGGTAAATCTAGTGAGGGGTGCAAGTGTGGCTAGATGGGCAACGAGGCAAAAGGTCGGGGGGCGGCTGATGTTGAATCTGGACTACATGATTTTCCCCTGCAATCATGGGGGCACACATTGGACTATGTGTGTAGTCAACTTCAAGAAGAAGAGGATTGAGAACTATGATTCAATGTACAGCAGGGCAACAGCGGATCATGTATTCAAGGTATGTTTATCACTATTGGCTTTTTTAAAAGTGCAGGCTACTAACTTGTATTCAGATCACGCGACAATACCTTATTGCCGAAACCAAGTCAGATCTCGATGGATGGACAAACTACAACCATTGGAATACAGTGCAACAGGGGAACGCGGCAGATTGTGGAATGTTTTCGTTGAAAGCGGCAGAGGTGGCTACAAGGGGTGCGATATGCAACGTCACCCAGGAGGACATGCCAGTGTTGAGGCAAAGGATGATTGTGGAGATGGCAACAAGAACTCTTTTCCCCCCACAATACGCACCATAATCAGTGTAGTTGGCCGAATGGCCCGCGGGGGGGGGGGGGGGGCATAGGATAGGTTGGAGGACAATCAATAATGGTTGAAAAAGGAAAGCGGATTCTACCGGGTTTTATTTCTTGCTGTTTTTCTTCTTCTTTCTTTCTCTTTTTTCCGGGCGGGGTTTGTTTTTGACTGGTTATTCCCCTTTACTTCCAGTGGAGTTTACTTCTCTTTCTTTCGGTTTCATTTTTTAAAGAGATAACGGCACAGACTTTATCCATCTTTTTACTCTTACAAGCCTATTTATGCGGTGTTTTTCATGGGTTTTCTCCCTCCCTTCTCTCTCTCTACTTTAAAGTTGGCGTTCAAATCTCATACCCTCTTTTTGTCATGTTGGAGGTGTAGTTTTAGCATAGATATCTTGTGAGCGTTGGTGGGGGTAAAAAAAAAATTGAGGCGGTAGTTTAGTTATCGTTTTTCTTTTTCTTCTTTCCCTCCTTTCCTTTTTTTCTGTTGGGAGTCTGTTTTTTTGCGTGGGCTGTAATATACTTATATTTCAAATATTTGGTATTTGATAGGTGGTACTTATTGTGGGTATTTCATACTAGAATGAATATGATACGATCAACCTTTTTATGGGTCATTATTGAGTTTTACTCGGCTGTTTTGTCCTTTTTTTTTTTTTTGCTATAAATTAAAGAGGACTGTAGCTTTGAAAGTGGTAATAATAATCACAACCTATCACTCGTGGTGGAAGTTGGACCCTTGAACCGCCAAGACATGCATGTCAGTAGCCTGCCCTGTACCTGAATGCGCAATCATTGACATTCGCGCACCCTCCTCACACCGTCCCACACTAACCCCGCCGCTCGCTTTGTACAGAGGTATAGAGTTATGTAGTCAGAACCCCAGGAGCCACAGAGTGTTACTTTCCCATGTCCATTGGCATTCCGAGCCGGCCCGAGACCCATCTCACCGGAGTAAGCTGCGTGCCTGGCAAGTCAACTACTAGTACCCTCCCACTCTCCACGGCCATCACATCTCCAACCACACCACACCAACCCCCCCACCCCCCCCAATCGCCGCCTCGGAGCATCCTCCACAAGCAACTAGCTAGCCAACCACCGACTCACACCGGAGGCCCTTTTAGCTGTACCCGATGCAGCCGCAAGCACCCATTGCAGCCGTATTAGTAGCAGCTGATGCCGCACCCAGATTATAAAGAGGTGAGAAAGGCCCGACGGGGCAAGTAAGTACATGTAGGTATAGTTCTTTTGGGCAGGTCTGTGGAGGGTGGGCACTTCAAGCTTGGAGAGGGAGGTGAGGGTGTGTGTGTAGTGTGTGTGGCGAGACTACCGAGCCATCCCTAAACCTCATTACCCCCGGCCCGCTGTCGTCTCCCGCCATTGGATCAGCCGAAAAGATCTCAGCAGTGTAGTATCATATCGTAACCTAGATAGAGCCTAGTGACAGCCCACTACTCCCTCGCACGGCCGGTACGTCCAGATTGTAGCACCTGGGCACTCATCACCAAAGCAGTACAAACACAAACCGTACTAATTACAAGCTCTGTTTTTCAAAGAGACGGGTTATAATCCCTTCATTATCAATGTGTCGGTGAGCTGCGCAGCGAATCTAGAGAGAGGGTCGTGGTTTAATTTGAGTGAAAGATCAATTAACGTTGGTTGCAATCTATCTACTATACTATAAAAGAATATGGTCTGAAAAAGTTTCGCTAAACTGGCCTAATCCTACATCCGGCCCTGACCATAGGGGAGACTAATTGGCCAAATAATGAGCGGGGAGCTAAGATAGTTCAATCTGCGATTGTAGGCCGGCCAGAGAGAGCTCTGATCGATATCACACATCACATACCCCACTAAGGCCCTCAGGCCCCTTAAAAAAAAAGGGCAATAAATACACAAAAAGTAATGTCTGGGGTGTGCGGAATGTAACGGGCTATAGGTCCTAATTCGCGGAAGGATCTGAGATCAACTCCCGGTAGATCGGACTCTACTCCCCGTTACATGCCGTACACCCCAGAGCACCACTCCCACCCCCGGAGTTGAACCCATGACCTGCTGATGGTCATGGGGACAACCCACTCGGTGTAGCAAGACGAGGCGTCTACCACTAGACTACCTCGCCCACACAACTGTCAAAGGCCGGGAAGTAATACTTAAGGGAGTGAACGCAAAGTGAGCTAGCTAGGGGGACACCTACATAACCCTGTAATCACAATCTACCACGATCCCACTACTGGCCACCCTCTTGATTGATTGATAAAAAGATAAAGAGATCTGGATCTGCGAGCTCTCTTGGCACCAACTTTAACTTGGTGGACAATATTTGTCCCACGTCTGCGAAACCCCTTCATCCCGCTCCGGTCCCATCACAACACCCCGACCACGACAGACCACACCATGATCTCAGCATCCCAAACCACAGATACTTAATAGCGATAGTACAAAAGACCTACTACCTACACCGCTCTGTTTCACCAATTGATTGTTTCACGGCCTCACTTGGACTTGGATCACGAACCATCACTCGCCGCACTATTCTGTCCATCTAGCCAAGAAAGTTTATTCCCTCTGCATGCTATCGATCTCTAGATTACTATTACGGCAATTCACCCACCTCTCCACCCCACCACCACCACCAGAAAGGAAAAAAGGAAAAAAGGAAAAAAAAGAAACATAAAGAACCCTCATTTCACAGTGGGCATAGCACCATTATCTCACATAGCTCAAAAAAGAAAAAAGAATAAAGAATAAAGAACAGAAATCAAAGAAGGACCCCTCTAAACAAAAGCCGCCATAACGGCCACGAGCCCGGCAACTGCAAGCGCACCCGCACCAACGCTCCTTGCACTAGCCACACCCTCCGCATCACCCGCAGCACTAGTACTGTTATCAGTGCTGTTTCCAGCACCAGAGGTAGTCTCGCCACTCGGGGTGTTGCTCTGGTCGTCTGCCAACGGCGTGATGGTGAGGTTCGCGACCTCCGCGCCGCCCGACGTATACACCTTATGCGGCGTGGTGAACTCCGTCAAGTCCACAATCTTGCCCTTATTGGCATTCTGCACGCCATTCTTGAGCAGATCGGTATCGGGGCACGCGGGCAGGTCCATGCTGGTGTTAAACTTCGCGGCATGGTCCTGGAGGATGAACTTATCCGAGCAAGTCGGCGGCTCCGCCGACGCCGAGAGCGACGAGCGCGACGTGATGAGCGTGATGTCGATGCCGTTGTACTGCTTCTGCAGGTTGTCAAAGTCCTCGAGCAGGCTCGCATCCCCGTTGCTCGAGATCTCGACGAGCCCGTAGTCCGACGGCTCCTGCGTGTACTCGTAGACGAGGCCGCCGGACCACGAGTCGATCATGCGGTCGCCGTAGAGCGCCGCGATCTCATTGAACGGGCGGGGGCGCACGGTGTTGCAGCCGAACTCGCTGAAGAAGAGGGGGACGGAGGTGTTGGAGAAGGTGGTGACGAGGCCCTGGTAGCCCGAGGTCTCCCAGGTGGAGTCGCCGCACCACTGGTAGCTGTTGAGCCCGTAGAAATCGGCGCGCGAGTCGGCGTCGTCCCCGCAGGTGAGGTAGGCCCACATGGGGCGGCGGGTGTCGTCGTCGGCCGCCGAGTAGCCGACGGGGATGGTGCGGCTGGCGTGCGCGGCGATGTATTGCTTGAGGTCGCGCTGGATGGCGCGGATGTACTGCGGCACGGTCTGTGCGGATTTGACGCTGTTGACGACTTCGTTGCCGGCGAAGAAGCCGAGCAGGTTGGGGTAGTCCTTGAAGGCCTCGACGACGGAGAAGATGCGCGTGAGGTAGCCGCTGTGGTAGCTGCTGGCCGGGTCGTCGCGGTTGAGGGATTCGCCACCGAGCGGCGAGTTGACGTCGAGCGCGAGGTAGATGCCGACGGCGTTGAAGATGGAGACGCATTCGTCGTGGTTGAGGGCGGGGTTGATGTTGTAGACGCGGATGGTGTTGACTCCGAGCTTTTGCATCACGGCGGCATCTGATGGGGTGGCATATCAGTACTTTATATATATTACCCAGAATATATACTGGTATCACTGGTATCACCAGTAGCACAGAGACGGGAGAAGGAGTAGGAGGAGGTGAGACAAACCGCGAAGACAGGCATCCGCATCACTGAGCGGGTCGACACCGGAGTTGGGGTCATAACCACTGGCTATTTCCCACACATATAAATCAGTCTATATCCCAACGATAGATAGATAATAGCAGATAGCTACATAGGGAAAAATAAAAATAAAAAGAACATACCACCAGCAGGCTGGTAGGCCAATCCCACCATGACGAAGCGGTCTTCAGTGACGGAATTGACAAAGTCGCTGCCGTCGACGACCAGCGGGGATGCAGCAGATGCCAGATGAGCGGCTAGCACCGTGGCAAGAGCCGACTATCATTTAATTTTGTTAGAGATAGGATGTTTTTATTTTATTTATTTGTTATCGATTGATTGATTTGATTTGGTTGATGGTAGATAGAAAGGTAGATTAGATGGGGGATTCACTCACAAGTGCAATGGACTTCATGGTTGCGTGATGAGGAATTCAACAACTGTAGTGTGTGCGGGTATGCAAACGAATGACAGTGAGCAGTGAACGAGAGTCTGTCTTGCCTGAATGGAATGAAGCGAGAGTGGGTGTCTACTATTAAGATGATGATGGAGAGGAAGGAAAGAAAAGAGAGAAAGGAGAAGGAAGGGAAGAGAACAGGAGGAATGGAACAGAAGGAAGGGCGGTAGTGGTAGCGTGAACCACAAAGTCAAACAGGGAAATTAAATGAGCAGGACCTCTTTAATCAACCTCCGTCGTCTACAGGAACCAAGGAACAGGCTGCATCATGTAATCCACCCATTCATTCCGTCATGCACGGACCAAGCTGGTGGAAAGGGGTTAGCTGATGGAGGGATGGGAGGGATGGGAGGGATGGGAGGGATGGGATGGGGAGGATTCTAATTCATGGGGACGGATCGTGGATGGCCAGGGGTCAATTGGAGCGAGGGCTTTCCCGGGTCCTTCTGCTCCCGCCGGTTATTAACACCGCGAGAGGAAACATCGCATATCTCATATATAATATATCTCTGCAATTCAATCAAACAGAGCACTCTACCTGCATCTCGGTATAGTTATGCCAGTACCAGTCCCCAGGAATACCGACGTAGCAGTGTCAATTAAACATCTGCAAATACGCTGCCGCAGAGTAGAGTTAATACTCACTCAGAGGGTTAGGGTTACACAGCCCCGATCGCTAGAGGTAAACTTTAATTTTCACCTAATTTCTGATCATTTCCCCACCAAACCTTAACGTCGTCATCGCGAAAGAGTCAGAGCCAACCTCAACCTCACCTCTCAACACATCGCCCACACAGCTCACCCACAGCCAGAGGCACCACAATATCTACAGCTATCTAACTGACGAGAAACACACTCATTCACCACACCCCACAATGGCTGAGCCTGAAGCAGACAACCTGCGCATCCAGCACACAAACCCCCAAGATGTCGACCTCTCCGACGAGACCCAAGACTTCCGCTTCCTAAACCTCTTCAAAAAGTAACCCCCCCTCCCCCACCCCCCATCTCCGCTCCCTCCCCCTCCACACACAACTCACATCCCACCCAGAGCCGACCCCGCCTCGCTCCCCCGCCGCGGCGAAAAAGACTTCGAGCCCGATGGCACCTCTCTCCAAGACACAATCCTGCACGAGTCGCGCCTCGCCATGCACGAAGCGCTCCTCGGCGAGCGCAAGCACTCCAACAAAGCGCACGTCGAGGCCACCTGGCGCCCCGAGCAGGTCCTCGCGCAGGTCAAGGTCGCCCGCGGCCCACACTTCAAGACGGTTGGCCGCGCAGATAAGCATGGTGTGCTATGGCTGCTACCGGAGGAGACTATATACCTGGTGGAGCGCGGCAACCTCGAGTGCTGGTGGGAGGAGGGCATCCCGATGAGTCTGCAGGGGGCGTATGCGAGCTGCCTGGATGGATGCGGGGGCTTGGAGAGGTACCAGGTGTATGCGTACCTTAAGCGCGCAGGGTATATCGTGCAGCGCGCCGCCACATTCGATGAGGAGCCGGAGTCCGAGACGGCGGTAGTGGTACAGACGGTGCAGCCGCGGAAAGGGACAACAGGGGTGGGGCTGACGAGCATTGCGTCGCTGGTAAAGACATTCTTTTCGCCGTCGCTGCCCGCCCACGGCCCGATTATCGGTCCGGGGACGTACCGCTCCTACGACGCAATCTATTCCCGCCTCTCGCTGATCCCGTCGCACCATCCGCCGCGAACGCCCACGCACCCGGTGTCGGCGGGGGGTGCGCGTGCGCCGTTTCGCGTGGCGTATAATGTGTGGAAGCCGCGGCCGAGCTTCAAAAAGAGCGACCCGCCACCGCCCGATTTCAGGGTTGCGGTTGTGTCGGCGCGCGAGACGAGCCTGCCGACGCTGCGGGAGCTGGCGGCGCTGTTTGATTCGGTGCCGGTGGATGCGGAGACGGCGGCGAAGGCGCAGTTTAGTAGGTTGAAGGATGGCTGGCGGAATGTGGTCCTGGCGGTGGTGGATAGTGGTGTCACGAGCTATTTGAAGATTGGGGATGTGGGCTTTGCGGGCGAGGAAATGTGGAAGTGGAAACCGGGGGTGGGGCGTGGTGGGAAGAGGGGCGGAAGGGGTGGAAGAGGGGGTGCGAGGGGCGGTGCTCCTGGGAGAGGGAGGGGTAGATAGATGTTGTAGAGGGGAACCTTTCTTTTGTAATAGAACCTTACATAGATCATTGATACCAGGCTAAGGGAGACGAGTGATTGATGGTGATGGAACCGCTGGCCGAACGTGCAATTCCTGCAAAGTGCAATAAATCAGAACTCAGTAATCGAAGGCCCCTCAACATGTCTGGAAACCGCATGTTATGAACCTATAACTGCGCCCCAGCGGTAGCTACCCCAGATCTTGTCTCTCTTTGGCCCCGCTATCTCCTCCGCTCCAATCTACTTCTTAAGGGTTAGCATCATTGACGTGTAGTTAGATCCAAGGTCTCTCCGCCTCTAGCTCTCGCTCTGGTAATGATTCAGGGCTCGGGCCTTGCGGGTGTAATCGTGGGTTAGGGTAAACATCCCCGGGCTTCACCCCGCAACCTAGCCTACGCCCAGTGATAATTCTAGGCCCGAGCCTGCAGCGCACAGGCTCGCTCGGGCCGGTTGACCGGTCTCGGAGCATGTGGATCAAGTGGAGACCAGGTTAAAGTCTCATGGAGTATGTCAAGATAGGTTAGGTAGAGTGTCGACCTAGGTCTAGGAGAAGCTCAAGAACAGATTGGCTCGGGCGAGAGTAAAGAGGGCCGGTTGGTTGATCTAGAGATCTGAGAAGGAAGCGGGGGAGAAAGTTGATCGATGGGCTCCGATAGGTAAAAATCTCGTTGATGGTTGGCTGTCAAGATAGCCTTCTTTTCTCTGCGCATCTCTGATGTTGTGCCAGGAGTGGTGTGACGTACGTGTAGCGGCCAATCAGCGTTCGTGATTCAGTAGCACAATTCTTTAATACGGTGTAACTATTGGAGTAGATAGGAGTAAGAATGCGAGTGGTGTTTGAACTTGCCAAGCTCACTGACAAGTGGGCGTTTATATATGCCATAGTCCGTATAATGGACGACGTCACCATGGCCGGTCATAATCGAGAGGTATCCGATTAGAGAGTTTGACCACGTCCTTATCTTGTTACTTTTTCTGTTGCTGCGAGTGGTGAAATTATCACAGAAATACGGGAGAGATTCAGACTCTCCGCCAGCCATCAATAGATTTCTATTATACCCTTCGCTGTAATGTATATGAGTCGATTCCTGTGGCTTGAATCTGTTCCGGAGTGTTGAAAATCGGGCGAGCTTTAGAGCTTCAATTGATATCGATGTCTAAAGTTAACACAAGCTATCCTATAAGAGTCCGGGAAGGACACCATTTCTTTTGACAGCAGGCTAGCTTTATTATTCGCCACCGTGGCCTTGCTACCTTGAGCGACACGGATCCAACACGGACTAGCAGGTATAATGATAACGAATGATAATTGGTGATTCAAAGCACACATTGATGCGTCTAGAGATCAGGTGTTAAGTGGGAATTTAGTTACTCTAGAAAATATATTCCCCTTAAGCTTTCTGCGCAATAGTATCAAAATTCTCTTTCTATTCGTATCCCTCATGACCAGCTAGCTTAAGTCTAGTGGTGCTTTCAGTGCGCACTCTGAGGTCGAACATGCCTTTTCCCTCTGAGAATGAGACATCCAGTTAGGATCATTTTTTGTTCCCACCCGATAAAAAGTCAGCCTTCGGACGTCGATACTATCATTGACACCAGAGAAAAAGCAAGTTCCCACGCCCCCATCAGCTGACTGCGCGGGTGCCCCGTTCCCCGTTGAACCCTGTCTCTCACAGAACACGTCACACCCGGTCCGGGTAACGCAGCCCAGCCTCTCCTCTGGGGATATCTGATACCGGGAGCTATGAGACCCTTTATCTACAGCTAGAGAGCTCTCTCCCCCGGGCTAGCACCTCCCCCAACCAACAACAACAATAACAAACCACAGAGCGTTTCACCATGGACTCAATCTTCACTACAGCCCGGGAGGCCGCGAGAGAGTGTACATCGCTCCTCAGTCCCTCAATTGTTAACTTCGCCTTCTCGACCTGCATCCTGCTTGGGATTCTCGGGTCCTACATCCCACAACATTACAAGATAATGGCGCGTGGCTCCAGTGAGGGTATCAGTCCTCTGTTTGTGCTTCTTGGGGCAACGGGTGGAACGTGTGGGTTTGTGAATATCCTCATCCTGTCGCAAGGAGTGTTGGGATGTTGCCAGAAGGGTATTGGCGGGTTCAACTGCATCGCCGCCAGCCTGGGTGTCGTCCAGGTTGGGATGCAATGGGCCTGTTTCGCAGTTATGTGAGTTTCCTCCCCTATCCGCTCCCCCCGGCGGAGCTAACAGCAGCGCCACAGCTTGCTCCTATTCCTGATCTACTTCCCGCGCGCCTCCCCCCTCGCCTCTCCCGCCACCTCCCGCAACTGCCCCCCCGAGCGCGCAGCGCTAACCGTCACCTTCCTCTCCGTCCTCCACTTCGTCATCGTTATCGGGTGCACCTTCTACTTCTCTCTCCTGACCTCCGAGAACACCCCGCACACCCCCGAGACCATCCCGGAGCCGAGCCCGCAGCTCGTAGCATGGGCCAACTTCCTCGGTGTTCAGGCGATGGTGCTAGCGGGGCTGCAGTACATTCCGCAGTTGTACACGACGTGGACGTTGAAGCATGCGGGGAGTCTGAGTATTCCGATGATGTGCATTCAGACGCCGGGGTCGTTTGTGTGGGCGATTAGTTTGGCGACGAGGGAGGGGACGAAGTGGAGTAGTTGGGCGACGTTTGTGTTGACGGGAATGCTCCAGGGAGCGTTGTTGGTTATGTGTGTGGTCTGGGAAATGAAGAATAAGAATGAGGGCACGAAGGATTCTGCTGGGGTTGATCAGGATGAGGCCGAGAGGAGACCGCTTATCGGGAATGAGACGTCGTAGTCGGTTTAGGAGAGTAAGGGAATGCGTTTAGGATCTTTGGTTATGGGTTTAGCTTGGTTTCTTTCCCTCTTTAATCTTGTTTTGACGTTGGTGTTTTAATGAGCGATGACAGTTGGCGCATAGATCGGCGCATAGATACACATTTGCGGCGCGAAGTTTGGACATGTAATTTAGGGTTGTATTACTACTGCAGTATATTTACTGTTTTTATCACTATAAATACCTTATTCCCATTCATCCATTCTCAAAGAAACATTTATGACTACAAATATCCCCCCATCAACCAGCAGCACCAGGCCGCCCTACAACACCGCGTCCACCCCCTCCCCAATCCCCCTCAACACCTCCCTCTCCACCATCACCTCCCCAATCTCCCTCAACATCCCCCTCAGTCGTCCCTCCACCTCCTCGCGCCGCCTTACATTCTCAGCAACGGCCTCCACCTTGCGCTTCCACTCCTCCATTGCCTCCATCTCAGCCCACTTCTTCCGCCGCGCCTCCACGGCCGCAGCTCGCGATATGGCATCGGGGTTCGACGGGTGCGCGAGCGGTTTGAGCGTCGCGAGAGTGCTATTGGCGGAGGAAAAGTAGGCGGCGAGAAGGGAGAGCTCGGATTGCGTCTGCTTGTGGAGCGTGGCGAGGGATTGCGTGCTGTAGGTGATATGTGTGAGAAGGGAGTGGAAGTGCGTGGTTGGGGCGTCCGGGGCGCGGGGGATGGGAGGAGGGTTGCCCATGATTTTTGTGGATGTCGATGAAGGCTATATAATACTGGAAATGTGTAAATGGTATCGTGAAAGTGGTTGTAAAAAAAAATGATATCTACTTAAGGATCTTCCTAGTAGGCAGATCTAGAGTTGGTGATACTATAGAGGGTTATGAGAGGTTATCTTAGAATAAAGGAATTTAAACTCTGCTGGGAAACCTTATATTCTCCGCATTGCTACCGCCCCCCGAATCCCCCCGGATTGCTGTTGGATTACTTGAAGCGTACTCGAGACGTTTCGGCATTGCCTCAAGTTGTGTTAAGACCCCCCTGTTGGTGGCTGTTGTCTTTTTGGGCTAGCGCCGGTGGTACAAGGGGCGAGTGATGTTTTGTGAATGGGGCGTGGGGGTGTTGGAGAGTGGTAGTTAGTGTGAGATCTGTAGTAAGCGCGGTATTTGTTGCACTTGGTAATAAGATGTTCATATGCTCCAACGATGTGAAGTTTCTGGCAGTTTACGCAGGTACATACTCTAGAGCACTTCTTACATGTGCTCATTCGGGAGTGGGTTAACTACATGTGCATGATACAAAATAGTCGATTAGCAGCCCACAACCAGATCTGAGGACAGATCTTGAGTGAGGCTAGAACCTTGAGCTGTTTTCAGCGTACCTATGTAGATTCGCTCCTGCGTCAACATCAGTGGCTAGATGAGGAAATGTCTCAACCATCTTACCCCGCCGATGAGATGCTATTATTCACACATCGCACTAGGTATGCACTCTACATCTACTGCAGCCATGGTGATGCCTCCAGATCCGGGCAAAACGGATAGATATGCTTCTAGAAAGAAAGAAAAAAATCATTTCCACCCCTTTTCACGGCATGTGACACGTGTGACGTTCTGTTTCGATGTCTTGGCATAAGCTAAAGCAGGGATCAGAACAAGCTCCGCCGAACCCGATAGAAGGAATTTCTGAAATTTCGCCCCGTTGTCCTCCTACATACACCATCCAGTTCATCTCTCTTTCCCTTCTCTTCCCTTCCGCTGTCATCCTATCTCCATCCTCTGTTATCACTGCTGCTGCTGCAATCATGGACGACACAACTGCTAGATCTGCCTTGGACTCGTTCGAGATCATTACTGCCTCCGGTATCCTCCTTTGGTCAAAGAAGTATGCACCAGTCAACCCAAGCGTCGTCAATAGCTTTATCAGTGATATCTTGATTGAGGGGCGCGTCCAGCCTGGCACTGATGGGAAATACTACAAGAAAGACTCGTACACGCTCAAGTGGACCACTGCGAACGATTTTGGCTTGATCTTCATTGTGCGCATTTGCCCTCGTGACCTGTTTCTTATCGAAAAAACCAATGCTAACATCTATTTCTTTTCTTTTTTCAGGCTGTCTACCAATCGCTTTTGCAACTCACTTGGATCGACGAGCTTTTGGACACCGTTAAGAAGTTGTTTACAACCCTTTACGGCGAACAGCTCAAGAAGCCGCACACAGCCACTATTGAATGTCACTTTGACGACTATTTCAATTCAAGGATTAACGAGCTTGAGAGGAAAGCTGGAGGACCGCGACCTATCATTTCCGCCCCCGTCATTGAGCAAGCCAAGGACGGCGGAAAGTGGGATGCACCACCACCGCCCCCCATCCCGGGGATTCTCAAGGCGCCACCCAGACCCGGTTCTCCAGCTATTGTTAATAGCGCTCTTATGAGGCCCGCAACTCCGGAAGCTCGTCCAAAGTCACCTGCACCGAGCAGTCATCTTCTTGCTGGAACTAGGCGCCCTGCCCGTGGCGCTCGTGATCGCCGGGGGGGGAACACTGCTCATGCTTCTAGCGGCGAGGAGAAATCGCCTGCGCGTAATAGTAAAAAGGGGGGCAAGAAGTTGCGCAAGTGGGATGCGGACGGGAATGCAGATGAGGAGGATGGCGCCGTGTTGGATTACTCCGCTCCTGGCGTATCTACAGATGAAGAGATCGATCACGGGTCGCGAAAGATGGATTACATTGAGCAGAAGGAATGGGGTACCAAGACTTCAAAGGGGGAGTTCGTATTGAAAGATTTAGATATGGAGGTAAACCAGATATTGAAAGAGGCGGAGGAGAAAGATCGGGCAAGCAACACTGCAAGCTCTGGTTATGGGGCTTTCGGCTTTTTCCGGAACATTGTGGGTGGTAAAACATTGACAAAAGCGGATCTCGAGAAGGCTATGACTGCCATGCAAGAACACCTTTCCAAGAAGAATGTTGCCCGAGAAGCTGCGGTCCAGGTTACTGAATCAGTAGAGAAATCCCTTATCGGCCAAAAGACCGGATCCTTCCAGTCGATTGAGGCAACTGTTAAGGCTGCCGTCGAGGCTTCACTTCGCAAGATTCTTACACCCACAAACTCACTCGATCTCCTTCGTGAGATCCAAACCAAACGCAGTGGGTCATCAAAGAGGCCATACGTTATCTCCATTGTCGGAGTAAACGGTGTCGGAAAGAGCACAAATCTCTCAAAGATTTGCTTTTTCCTCTTGCAGAATAAGTTCAAAGTTCTGATTGCCGCTTGTGATACCTTCCGTTCTGGCGCAGTTGAACAACTCCGCGTCCATGCTAGAAACTTGAAGGAGCTGTCTGAGCGTGAGGGTGGTGTCGTAGAGCTCTACGAGAAGGGTTACGGAAAGGACGCCGCAAACATCGCGAAGGACGCCGTGGCCTTTGGTGAAGCTGAGGGCTTCGATGTGGTTCTCATCGACACTGCCGGAAGGAGGCACAATGACCAGAGACTCATGAGCTCTTTGGAGAAGTTTGCGAAGTTTGCAGAGCCGGATAAGATTTTGATGGTTGGAGAGGCGCTTGTCGGGACCGATTCGGTGCAGCAGGCGAGGAACTTCAACGCTGCGTTTGGGAATGCTAGGACGCTGGATGGGTTTATCATTAGTAAATGTGATACAGTTGGCGATATGGTAAGGCTATCTCACTCACGATAAGTTTATATTTGGATGTATGTGCTAACAAAGAAACCAGATTGGAACACTCATCAGCATGGTCTTCGCCACAGGAATCCCGGTAGTGTTTTTGGGAACTGGCCAGAACTATCAAGATTTGAGGACGCTCAATATTGCCTGGGCTGTCAAGTTGCTCATGTCGTAGGCTGTGGGGTTTATGAAAAGTTTTAATATTTTCTTTGGAATTATTAGTTAGGCTAGGGACTAGGACTAAGGTTGGGGGAATATCAGATTGTTGCCATCGGTTCTGAAAGTTTGATCGTAGTCTTTTTGAGCGAAATAGTGATACACCAGTGGCGGTATGGGAGAATAATCGTAGTTACTACGGGCAAGTATCGCTATTGAGCAAAAGTACTGAACCTCCCCTCTTTGGATGCTCGGATAGTCGCTCAACAGCACCCCAAGGTTAGGGTTACCACGTGGAGTGGCGGTGTCAAAAAGCCTCTTGACAGGTGCTTGCATGGTAAAGTGTCATACCTACATATGTAACAGTGCAGGCAAGGGTACGGTTGACGCCCGGAGTCAAGGTCGTACGGTACAGTCAGGCCTCAGTGCTCCGCCCCATTTCTTCTCGTCAATGTAGAAGGCTAGCCAGCCAGCTCGGGGACTGTTCCTCCGCCCCTTGGCGAAGCTTGTTAGTGTTGTAAATGGGGGCTATTATTGAAAGACTAAGGCTGCATAAAACTTGGGATGCAAAGAACCATCTGATCAAGACCTACCGTTCCATGAGACTCCAAGAGGGATTAAATTGGAAGCGGTGAACAGAATACCCCTCCCATCCTGCCAAGAGCTCCGCCAGAGGCCTTAGCATAAAACTTTCCACGAAGGGCGGGTAAAGTTCTGCTCTGCTGACTACTGGCCGTGCTCAAGGGTCTCGGTCATGGATTATCACTCGGCCGATAGGGCTAGTGTTCATGGTAAATCAGAGCTGAACCTCCCCGGAAGATAGATTGGGAGGTACTAGAGGCCGAAGATTGGGGTGCATAGCCGCTCGCGTAGTGGTGTTTATGGGGTTGAGGGGACGCAGGGAGCTAGGGGACGTACGATAAACACGCCTTATAATCATGATCACCATCTTTATACCGCTTTCAATACTTGGGTGCCTTTAGTATCATTATAATTCACTGCTCGTATGATGGGAGGCTGGTCATTCGTAACAATAGAGAGTCTTATTCCCTGTTTGGCTACATGTAAGCCTTGCATTTTCACCACTAAAGCCTCCGCGGTAATGGGTCAGGCGAGACAGGTCATCGTAGTTTCTCCGGCCTCTGTTTCTGGCGACGGACTATGCTATAGGTTTGTCTTGGGTAAATGCTAGACAGCGAGCTACCTGCAGGGGATGGGTATGCATGAGACTCAGTACGTAGGTAAACGCTTGTACTGCCAACGCATGATGCCAGCCTGGTGAAACAGCAGTCTGCATTGCGGTCAATGAATTCAAAAAGGAACCTTATTCAATTTGAGTTTCTCGCCCACTATCATGTTGGTGAACAGCCTCAGAAGGACAGGTTCTCAATGTAAATAGGCCCCCAATGACAGGACGAACCGGTTACCTTTGCGTACTTCATGGGTATTCCCGATTGCCACTATGTTATGGTTTATATATACACAAGGCTGATGCGATGTTTTTAGTGGTACCAATAGCCAAGAGGTACATATAGAGGTAAAGAACAGAAGTTAAAGAGCGGTATCAAGTGTATACGTGTAATGAAGTTGGAGAGTGAGAGTTCTGGGACAGCAACGAGTGACACGCCTATAGCTAAGAGAGATTTGAGTTATAGACCCGAACAAGTAGATATTACCATCACCAACGTAGAATCTGAAGATGTGGTAGCTATAACATGGCTGCAATATTTGATTATTTCATTTTTGAGCATAAAATAGCCACATGGTTCAAATAAACACCCTATCATGTTGTTATCCACGTCACGTCATAATCAGCATTAGCCTCTCATAATTTATCTCTCACCATGCCTTCTGAACCGCGCGAAAGCTTGATATACTCTGTAGATCAATCTGACTTTCAGCCGCAGAACCTAGGTCTCTATCCTCCTCCAATGCATTTGTCCATGAGCGTTTAGGCAGCGTGCCGACGTTCCCGCTTGGTAGCAAAGTCTCCGCCCTGCTCTTAAGTAATGGTGGTTTAAATCTCTTCCTAACCGGGGTTGCAGTCTCAGCTCCAGCAGCCATAGTTACCCCACGTTTCAATTTCCCCACCGGACGCCGAACCTCCATTGTCTCTTTAGGCTCCGAAGGTCTCCCAAGCGGTGACACGTAGGGGCGGTGAACCTTGGTGCTTGTTCTTCTGCTTGCGTATACACTTAAAGGTTTTGATCCAATAGGCGAAGAAATTGGACTTGATGCTAGTATCAAACTAGCTTTATGGCTCGATGGTAAACCATCTGGATATGGAATGTATTTTTCAAATTGCTTAACGGACTCGACACCCTTTTTGTGAAAAATTCCGGATATTGAAGTTCGCCGCCTCCCAGATAGATTGAGAAGCTCTTTGAGTGTTATTGGAGTTGTCGCTATGCTCCTTTGTCTCGAAAGCCCTACACGGGCTGGTGCGAGATTAGTATTTCTGACTATGATTTCCTCGTCCTCGTCCTCTTCTTCCTCGTTGATCGATCGTTCATCCTCCTCATTGATGGCCTCGTTTACCGTCGGAAATTGAAGGGCTCTTCGTGTAGGACGGCGCAGATAGTCCAGTGAATTATAATTAATAGCACCACTAGAACTATTTAAACACCGTTGGGCCATTGAAAAATAGTTGCTCTCTGGTTTTGGAGTAAATAAACGTCGAGAAACTATTATCTATTTCAGCTCTGAAAAGAAATATACAGGTAAAGGAGGATTGTTGAACCTGGAAGGGTAGGTTCCTCCTCTTCTGTGTCTTCTCCGTCAACGCTTCCCTGACTTAAAAAATCATTCCCCTTTGATCGTCCCCCTATATCGGAGGCAACTCGGCCGAGGCTAAAATGCGGTATCGGGGGTGCTTCAACAGTCAATTTTGGGATCGGATCTCCCCGAGAATCCCCGTAGCTCGGGTCAGTGCAATTCAAGACAGGCACTGTGCATTTCTCAGAACTAGTGTTTATCTGCAGTTGCGGTAGTTCGTATGAGTCCCGAAGTAGCAATTCCGCCTGTGTCAATCCACGTAGTTCTGATCCTTGATGAATAATCTTAAGCCTTGTTGTCAAGGGCTCTTCATGGTAGGCTATGCTATCATTGGCCGCGTAATATTCAGCAGTAAATGTTGAATGAATGAGACTCGATGGGGGTTGGCTGTCAAGAGTTCCTACTTCTGATATCTGAATGTTAAGTTGACCATATATGGTTTTCGGCACTGACGACAAGGGCACTGCCTACAAAAAAAGCATTATCAGAGTCTAGAATAATACGTGGATTTTCCATGCGGGTAGGTAATCATGCCTAAAGTAATGCTGTAACTGGATAAGCGAAACGTACCATATCTAGTACCCCTCTTCCAGAACTACTGTCAGTCTGTTCTGACCCTGCCAGACAGTCAAAGCCACTGCCTGGCTTATTTCGCAACCTTCCTAAGGCAACATCCATAGTAGGATTTATCTCCTCCCTCACAACCCTGCCCGGAACCGTCATTCTCGCTAACTTCGGTGTTTCTATCATGCTGCGGAAAATGCTTATTGGAAGGAGGGGTTTAGTACTGCGCACACAAGCCTCCAAAACACACTTGTCACGTTCTCTACCACTATTTTCTTCTAGGATATTAGATATCGGGTCGGTGTGCAATCCACAAGGCTGTGCCTATAATTCCGCCTCAGAGTAACGTCAGCTAATAACGTCACTTCAAAGGGTAAAAAATAATTATCTAGCCTTTTCATTAGAATGCTGAAACTCTTCAATATCAGTATCTCTTGAAAGAGGTAGAGAATTGTAGACCACATAGTGTTTTCTTCGTTTCTGCTTCGTAATCTCTACACTACCAATTATAGTGTTCCACTCTATGTCATCAGTGTTCATTCTTTTTGTAGATTTCTTTGTCTTCGAATTGGGCTTTTCTGTATGTTCCGCATCCCTTTCAACAGCAGCAAGCGTATCAAGAAGAAATGTAGCCTCCCTCCTGTTTGGGGAAATGCCAATGCTAAGTGATAGTTCTGTAGCTTTTAAACTTGTAATATTGTAAACCGGATTCCGCTCGCTGAGTGACTGATGATGCCACTAAGACGAGGCGGAACCCTACCCTATTTATACATTTTGGAACCTATGCCAAGGCCCGCTTTCTAATACTAATGAGATAACGATAATAGAATAAGACAATCGACCCGAAGATAACCCCAATAGAAAAGCGCCCCCGCATAGTTCCGCTCCTCCATTCTAATTCCGACACGTAACCATAAACCCCGCAATTGCCAGTAACCGAGCTGTATCACGCTATTGTCCTAGAGCTACTTCCCTAAGTAGAATGGCCTGCAGCCATAAGCCCCGCTTCTATTCCGTTCCGGGTGAGACACCCAATAGTAAGCGTGCCCTCACAACAGCCTAATACTAGTGTGGTTGCACCCGGTGCCCCCACACCCCTCGGTACCTTTCTATGCTTACTCCTTTATTACCCGACCGTACTCGCATCACAACCCATCACTCATATTATCCTTGTTCCCTGACTTAGGAGCAGTGTTCGTGTTTCCTGTAACACTACTCCCCCTTCCTAGACGTCGCCCTCGACCGTTAAAACCTCTCTATGATAAAAACCCTGTGGGAAAAGTCATAGAGTAGGAAAGGTATCGAGCTAGTCTTCCCTAGTCCGTTGTCGTTTCGGAGGCCGACTCGAGTCGATGACTGGCCCTTGGCTCCGTGTATGGGGCCGGATATTCGTGGTTGGTTTGAAGTTCTCATCTAAGAGCGCTTCTTGAGGATCGGGTGTTGCGAGTCGTTTTCGTGTATTCTGTTGTCTGCCAGGGTTGGGATCCTCTCGATAAGGTCGCAACAACATCTCGTGGAATACATCATGAACCTTCCATTCCGCTGGAAGATTCAACCTATAAGCCCGGTTTCCTACGGCCGCGGTGACTTCAAAAGGGCCTGTGAACTTGTCTGACCACTTATTATAACCGCCTAGGTTCCGAGTATCCAGCAAAACCTTTTGACCGATTGTGAGCCGCTGAACTGCTGGTCCTGGCCTTGATGCCATCCTGTCAAAGGTCTTCTGCAGCGTGTCTCTCGCTGACTCATGAGCTAGGAGAAGGTCTTCCAGGTAGGTACTTCCTTTGGCATCCAGCTGTCCGATTTTCGCATCCGTTGGCCAATCTGTTCGTGGGTGGAAACCATAGTTACAGTAGAACGGCGATTGTCCTGTCGACGAGTGTTTCGCATTATTATAGGCATACTCGCAAATCGGTAGTAGGTCCTTCCATTTCTTTCCTGTTCCGGCGGTATAGGCCCGGATGTAGGATTCGAGGTGCTGGTTGGTCTTTTCTGTTTGTCCATCCGTCTGTGGGTGGAACGAGGTCGAGAGTCTTCTACGAATCCCTAGTCGTTCCGTGACCGCAGCCCAGAATGCCGATACGAACTGTGTTCCCCTGTCCGAGACAATGCTCCTAGGAAGTCCGTGAAAGCGCCAAATGTCTTTGACAAAGGCGTTAGCGGTCTGTTCCGCGTTGATTCCCGTCATTGGAATGAAGTGAGCCATTTTCGTAAAACGGTCCACGACTACCAATACGTTATGGAATCCTGATTTCTCCTTTGGCATTTCTACTACGAAATCCATTGAGATATCAGTCCAAGGTGTGGTGGCTAACTCTAGGGGTTGAGGGAGTGACAAGTATCTCCGACGTTGCTTGGCTCTCTGGCACACGTCGCAAGTCTTGACGAAGTTGGCTACATCCGTGGACATTCCTGGCCACCAGTAGTTCCTATCGATCAACTCGAAGGTTTTATCCCTTCCTAGATGCCCCGCTACGGGTCTGTCATGATGATCTTCAATGACTTGTCTGACCGCGTATCCTGGCACTACCCAACGACCATCATGGGTGGCCTCATTCGATCCCGGGGTCCATTCAGTGGCAAGCTCCGTTATTACGGCATCAGCTTCCTCTGTCCCGAAGACTTCAAGGTTTGCGTCAGGGAGAGGTTCATCCCGGAACACTCTCCGAACCCATTGTCTGCCCTGTTCATACCAGTTTTGTAGTGGCTGAGGCAGCTCAGTACCTGGTATGTCGTACCACTGATCCAACGGAGTCCATTCTTCTTCGGGGTTGCCAATAATTTCAGGGCCAGTTTCTACGCTGGTCCGTGATTTTCTGACAAATTGTTCTGCGCTGAGCAACTGTTTTACGGGTTGTTCACGCATTACTCCCCCTTCCATAGCGAACTCTGGGCGCCTTGTCAGTGCATCTGGCTTGCCATTCTTTTCGCCTGGTCGGTAATGAATCCTGAAGCGAAAAGGTGCTATCTTTTCGGCCCATCTGGCTTGTCTTCTCGACAACTTCTTGGTCGTTGTGAAGTACTGTAGGTTCTGATGATCCGAATGTATCTGGATAGGAATGTCTGTTCCTTCCAGCCAATGTCTCCAAGTCAAGAGAGCAGAAACTATAGCGAGCATCTCCTTGTCGTAGATCTCGTAGTTTACCTCTGCCTCGTTGAACTTGCGAGAGTGGTAAGCTACCGGGTGTAGAATACCGTCCTCGAACACCTGAGAGAGTACTGCGGCCTCAGCCCAGTCGCTCGCATCAGTTTCTATGATCGCTTCACGGTGTTCGTCATAGTGTCGTAGTATTGGGGCAGACGTAAATCTCTCCTTGAGTTCGTCGAAAGCGTGTTGCTGTTCACTGCTCCATCGCCATACGGAACCTTTCTTCAAGAGATCGGTCATTGGTCGGCAAACTTCGGAGTACCTGTGGATGAACCGTCGTAGGAAGTTGGCGAATCCGAGGAAACATTGAAGTTCCTTGACCTTGGTGGGTGGTAACCATTCCGTGATTGCCTTCACCTTCTTAGGCGAGACCTGGTTCCCTTTCCCTGATAGTACAAATCCCAGGAATTCTACTTCCTGTTTGTACCATTCCGTTTTCTCGAGGTTCCCATATAGATGGTTTTGTTGCAGTCGCTCCAATATTTTCCTCACCAGAGTCGTATGCTCTTCCTTAGTCTTTGAATATATTAGAATATCATCCAAGTAGACTACTACGCCTTGATCTAGAAGATCCTTGAATATGGTATTGACCATGACCTGGAATGACGCCGGTGCATTGGTTAAGCCAAAAGGCATTACCCTATATTCGAAGTGGCCGTACTTCGTTCTGAAAGCTGTTTTCCATTCCTCGCCAGCAGCAATCCTAATCAAGTTATAGCCATTTTTCAGGTCTATCTTGGTGAAGAACTCTGCTCCTTTCGTTGAATCGGCCAACTCTGTCATGAGTGGAAGGGGGTAGCGATTCTTGACTGTGATAGCATTTAAGCCACGAAAGTCTACGCATAACCTCAGTTTTCCATTGGCTTTCTTCACGAACAGGATCGGTGCTGCTGCCGGGCTGGTGGAGGGGACTATTTTGCCAGAGGCTAGCATTTCGTCCAAGTACTCCCGGAGTGCCTTTTGTTCCACTGGGGAGAGCGCATAGATCGGTCCCCATGGAGGCTGCTTTCCTTCCATAAGGGGAATGGTATGGTCCCATTCAGAGTGATCAGGTAGCCGATCGGCTCCCTCCTTAGAGAAGACGTCGACGAAGTCCTGGTACTCCATCGGTATAGCACTAGCGAGAGCCTCGCCTACCAATGCCCTTGCC